TCAGGCTGCTGCTTGAGCAAGTGCTTTGAAAATCGCCACTGCAGGACCAGCAGTTGCTGGACTCCCATGTAGACAGCTGCAGTTCAAGTCCTGGACCCGGTGGCTTAAACTCACGCCAGGTGCCTGTGCGTGCATGCCCAAGATCCTGAGAGGAGAATGGAGGAGAAGGGATTGCAGCATGGCCATCCCCCCTGGGGGGTGATTTCTTGCTTTCTGTCTCTCTCTTGTCTCTCTGGCAAGCGCACACACGCCCTATAGCAAAAACCTCTCCCAAAAGCAAAAACCTCTCCCCAAAAAAAAAAGGGGGGGGGAGAAAGCCGCCACTGCTTCTCCATTACTCACACCTCCACCCACGGCCAGGGAACTCCATCCTTGCAAGACCACGCCACAGCCAAACGTCCAGGAACCGTGGCATGTGCTCTTCCCTCGTCTACACAATCTGTAGAGATCAGGAAATGAAATTTCTCTTTCTGGCTCTTCCTTCCTGATGAAGTGAAGAAGTGACACGACTCTGGACAAAATGGCGTGAGCTGAAGCGTGTGGACCCTCCACCTTTCCTCTTCTTTTTTCACTTGCTAGAGGGCACATGGGCTCTCGGGAAAGCGACAGCGAGGGGAGGAAAGGGATCACCTCCTCCTCCCCCACACAGTTGGCCCTGTCATAACCCCTTCTCCATTCTGTCTTTCTGGACTTTGGGCACGCACCCACCTGCACCTAGCGTGCTTTCCCGCCCCGGGTCCAGGACTCCAACTGTGCACTGGCCCTTCCCCTTTCTTAGTCCTCGGCAGGGTCTTGCAGCAGGAGCTGCAGCAGGCCACGCCATGTTGACGATGTGGACAAGAGGACACCCACCTCCACAGCAGAGCACACGAGGCCCACAGCTGCCCACCTCCCAAGCTCTGTCCCTTAAGAACAAAACCCCACCTGGGTTTCCGCATTGGTGATTTGCAGTTTACAGCCAAACACGTACTACAAATAAGAATGCTACATACCCTGGGTGCCTTTTGGAACTCGCGAATGGTATTAGCGTATTTAAGGATTTGAGGAATACTTTTAATTTTTTTAGAGAGAGAGAGGTTTTGTTTTGTTTTGTTTTGTTTTGGCTATAGGGCGCATGCACTTGTCACACAGACAGACAGAAAGTGAGAAGTCACCCCCCCAAGGGGAGATGGCCATGCTGCAATCCCTTCTCCTTCATTATCTCTGGAGTTTGGACATGCATACACATGCATCCGGTGTGAGTTTTAAGCTGCTGGGTCCAGAACTCGAACCAGTCAACTATGTGGGAGTCCAGCGACGTAACCATTACGCCCTATGCTGGTCCCAAGAGTTGAGAATTCTCAAGAGAAGAAATCTGTTCCATGTTGTTGTATATCATCTCCTAACGGAACTGATCAAGGAGCCCTTTCCTTCCTGTGCTAGTAGTAGCCCACGGGGCAGTGGCTTCCCATGTTCTCCCTTTTCTTTTCTTTTTTTTTCAAGAGAGAGATTTTTGCAATAGGGTGTGTGCACTCACTGGAGAGACAGAGAAAGACAGAGAGACAGAAAGTGAGATTATCAATCCTTAGGGGTGATGGTCATGCCACAATCCCTTCTCTTCCATTCTCCTCTCGGGATTTTGGGCAAACACATACACACACAAACACACCCAGTGTGTTTTAAACCACTGGGTCTGGTACTCAAACTGTGGTGGACTATGTGAAAGTCCAGTGACATAACCACTATGCCATTTTCTGGTCCCTGTTCTTGCTTTTCTTTTTTTTTTTTTTTTTTCATTGAAGAGGTTTTTGCTATAGGGTGCATGCACTCACCAGAAAGACAAAGAGAGAGACAGAGAGACAGAAAGCGAGAAATCACCCCCCAAGGGGGATGGCCATGCTGCAATCCCTTCTCCTCCATTCTCCTCTCAGGATCTTGGGCACACACGCACACATGCCCGGCATGAGTTTAAGCCACCAGGTCCAGGACTCTAACCACGGTCAGCTACTTGGGAGTCCAGCGACATAGCCATTATGCTAACTGCTGGTCCCCTAAGTGCTTTGTTTGTATAATCCTCTTAGTGACTTCACAGGCACAGTTTTATAATTTTCACCTTAGCATTGGAAGAGCTACAGCTCAGTGAAGTAAGGGGTCTATCTGAGGTCACGCAGCTGTTAAATGGCAGAATCCTTGGTTTAAGGATTTTAGGATCATTACATTATATTGCCTCTAAATTTCTTTTTCACTTTCCTGCGTTTTCACTTTCCTTACACATAAGAGGAGGAGTCTTCAAAAAAAATTCATGGAAAATGCATATGATGAAAAAACAATGCATGATTTAAAAATATTTTTTACATTAAAATAAATTCGTACTAAAATTTAATTTTTTTGGAGAGATTTTTTGCTATAGGGTACATATATTTGCCAAAAAGACAAAGAGAGACAGAGAGACAGAAAGCGAGAAATCATCCTCTGGGGGTATGGACACGCCACAATCCCTTCTCCTCCATTCTTCTCTAGGGATCTTCAGCACACATGCACATGCACCCGGCATAAGTTTAAGCCACCGGGTCCAGGACTCGAACCACGGTTAATTACATGGGAGTCCAGCAACATAGCCATTACGTCATCTGCTGGTCTTAAAATTTAATTTTTTTAAAGACTGATTTTATTTATTTTTTTTCACATGAGTTTTGCCAGAGGAGATAGAGAGAGAGAGAGAGAGAGAGAGAGAGAGATAGAGAGATGGAGAGTGAGAAAGCAAGCTACCAGGTTCAGGACACAAACCATAGTCTACCATGTGGGAATTCCAGTGTCTTAACCACCACACCACCTGCTGGCCCCCTAAAATTTCATTTTTCCATGAACCTATTGAAGTCCCTTCATATAGTTCCCTCAGCCTTCAATGATCTCCCTCCATATACCTAGTTAAAAGGTCCTGACTTGGGTCAGCAGCTGGTGTAGTGGTGAAGGTGCTAGACTCCCACTTGGCCGACTATAGTTCGAGTCTTGGGTCCGGTGGCTTGAAACTCGTGCAGGGCATGTGTGCGTGGATGCCCAAAATCCCAAGAGGAGAATGGAGAAGGAATTGTGGTGTGGCCATGCTCCCTGGTGGCAGCGGGGGGCAGGGAGGGGGTGATTCTTCACTTTCTGTCTCTCTAGTAAGTGCACATGCCCTATAGTAAAAATCTCTTTTAAAAAAAACTTGGCTCAAAAAGTTAGCTCTGGGAAGCTTTTTCTTTTATCCACCTCCAGAGGGTGCATGCACTCACCAGGGAGAGACAGAGACAGAGAGAGAGAGGGAAAATGAAAAACAGCCCCCAAGGGTTCTGGTCACACCACAAACTTCTCTCTTCCATTTCTCTCTTCTTGTAGGATTTTGGGCATGCACACACATGCGCCCATACACACACACACACACACACACACACACACACACTGAGCATGTTTTTCAGCTTCCAGGACTCGAACTGTGAAGTCGGCCATGTGGGCCCAGCCTCTTCAAGCACCATGCCATCAGCTGTCCTCTGGAAAGCTCTTCTTATCTCCTCCCTTCAAGCCAGGGTAGGTCCCCATGCCACATCCCTTAGGGGTCTACTTTTACTTCCTATTTACCAGCTTTTAAAATCATTCTGCTTTGTGATTATGTGACCAGTGTACGTCCTTGTCAAAAATAACCCAGTTCCATGTCAGCTTGAACCATATCCTCTGCTGCTGACACAGAGTTGGCACACAAGTATTCTTTGGAATAGCTTGTTTTTCCTCATGTGTTTACTCTCACACGGACAGGAATCCAATAAATATTAACATAATCTACTCTGCACCAATCCACATTCTATCCAGAAGAAGCTGTAGGCTGGTGGCAAAACATTTGAGTGATTCTAACTCTTCCTCTCCTTTTTAAAATCGCTAACATAGCAATTATTTTCATCTCAAGGGTAAGCAAACAAAACCTAACCACCATTTAAGATTTTCCCAGCCATCAGCCTGTAATCATTTGTCTGTCCTGCTGGGTTAATTTTTTACTCGTATTGCACCAATCTAGATAAGTTGGTGAAGGTCTGATAAATCAGAAGACTTGAGTCCGAGTCTTGGCTCTCTTACTCATTAGCTTTTTAACTGTGAGCAGTCACAAAAACTCAATCCACAAATTCTCAGCACTGTTAAAGGGCCATCATTTCCCCTCACAGGATTGGCATGAGAATTAAACTGAAGCCCACGAAAGACGTGTATAATCTAGATCAATATCCTGAAAACACGAGAAGTGTTTCATAAGGATTAATAACCTATGTTGTGGGAACAGCAGGTGGCATGGTGGTTAAGGTGCTGGGCACTCCCACATGGCCGATCACCATTCGAATCCTGGACATGGTGGCTTGCTTTCTCGCTTTCTCTCTCTCATCAGACAAATGAATGATTAAACAAAATTCTATAAAGAAAAGAAAAAAAAAAACAACTATGTCAATCATGGGCCATAAGGTAGCATGGGGGTTAAGGAGGCTGGATTCCACATGGCCAACTCTTCAGTTCAAATCCTACACCTGGTAGCTTGAAAATTACATGTGTGTATACATACCCAAAAACATCCCAAGAGGAGAATGAAGGAAAAGGAATTACAGCATGGACATACATCCTAACAAACTTCAAAACAAAACAAAACAAATTATGTGTTGTGTTAACGAGTTTCAGCTCTGTAGTCCAGGACCCCAAGTTCAAATCCCAAATGAGTATCTGTGGCCTAGGCAGTTGATTTGGCCATCCATTTCTGCCAGGTGTTTTGTACCTTGCATCGGATCTAGTGTATTATCCATTTACGCTTGTGTCATTTCTGAAATAACAGTATATTCTATTTTTAAACATTTTTGGTACAACATAGCTCTTAGCCTCGCCCTTCACATACAGGAACTCAATAAGTATTAACACCATCTACATTTGTTTGGCAAACGGCGCCTATTCTCTCTGCCAGGGCAACATTAGGTGATCAAGGAAAGCGGGAGGATGAGGAAGAACGCACACAGCAGTTGCTCTCGTCATCCATGCATATATTTAGAGGTGCTGTATTTCAGATCATTCAAAACCAAGATGAATGACAGGTGGGAAACACAACAGGACACCTAGACGACATTTGGAATAAAATCATTTGGCCTAATTTTCATGACCACGGATTTCAGTGAATACCACCACCCGTGCCAGGTGTACCAGATAATGCCGTTGTCTGTCTCAGCCGTGTAGGCGCCACCGTGGTATAAACCATTCAGGTTTGCAGAGTGACACCTAGTGGGAGAGAAAAAGAAAACGGAGCCATCAGACTAGAACAGAGTCTTCAGAAACCCTTTTATTTTGCTAGCAAATGATCAAAACTTTTTTTTTTTTGAGAGGTTTTTGCTATAGGGTGCGTGCACTCTCCAGACAGACAGAGAGAGACAGGGAGACAGAAAGTGAGAAATCATCCCTCAGGGGGATGGTCACGCCACAATCCCTTCTCCTCCATTCTCCTCTGGGGATCTTGGGCACGCACGCACACGTGCCCGGCGTGAGTTTTAAGCCAGCAGGTCGGGGACGCGAACCATAGTCACCCAGTTGGGAGTCCAGCGATATAGCCATTACATAACTGCTGGTCCCAAAAACTTTTTTTTTTTTTAAGGTTTCTCTCATAGGGCATGTACACTCTCCAGAGAGAGACAAAGCAAGACAGAGAGAAGGAAAGAAAGAAGTCACCCCTGCCCCTCCCCAAGGGGATGGCCACGGTATAGGCCCTTGTCCGCAATTCTCCTCTCAGGAGTCCCGCACACATACCCAGCATGATTTTCAAGTCACCAGGTCTGGGACTTGAACCATGGTGGACCATGTGGGAATCCAGTGCCTTAACTGCCACACCACTGAGACTCTAAATGATGAATTCTGCCCTTTTCTCCAGACAGGTGAGTATCAATTTTCTTTTTTTTTTTTTTTTGAGAGAGATTTTTGCAATAGTGTGTGTGTGTGCTTACCAGAGAGAGAGAGAGACAGAGACAGAGAGACAGAGAGTGAGAAATCACCATCCCCTACAGGGCATGGACATGCTGCAATCCCTTCTCCATTCTCCTCTCAGGATCTTGGGCGTGCACACACATGTGCCCAGCGTGGGTTTTAAGTTGCCAGGTCCGGGACTCAAACCGTGTTCAACTACGGGAGAGCCAAGCGACGTAACCATTATGCCATCTGCGGGTCTCAAGTATCGGTTTTCAAAAACAGAGATTGCTACAACAAGTAGCTTTTTTGACTAGTGGGGTTTACCAACAGAACAAATCAGAGGCCAACTGAAATACCATTAAAAAATGAGGACTCCTGTTCTTAACGGTCTTTCCCACCCAGAGAAAGGCCAGCAATGGAGGCACAGCAGGAACGCCACGCTTCGCCTTGGGGGCCTGCCTGGAAGGCCCGGGCTATGCCCAGTGACCTCCCTGCCCACACAGGGCAGGCACGTGGATGCCCGTGACCTGGCTGCAGGGCAGCTGGTGAATTGTAGTGTGGGGACCCTGATGAGGATGCCCGTCCCTCTCTGTCTCTTTCTCTATGTGGCTCTCTTTAATGGAAGAAATAAAATGAGGCTCTTCTAATTGCCAGAGGTCATGTGCTCTTACCTGAGAGAGACAGAGAGAGAGGGAGATGGGGAAAGCACCCCTCGAAGGGGGGCACGGTCATGTGACAATCCCTTCTCTTCCATTTCTTCGTCGTCTTGGAATTTGGGGAATGCATATATGCCCAGTAGGCTTGGGCCAGGATTTGAACCCTTGTCACTCACATGAATCCAGCTTCCTTAACCACTAGACTATGAGCCTAGCCTTTAATTTTTTTTTTTTAATTTAAGAGCATCATAAACACAGTTTTATGAGAGCAAGTTATTTTATTTTATTATTATTATTTTTATTTGCCAGAGGGTACCTGTACTTGCTAGAGAAAGGGAGAGGGAAGGAGGGAGACAGCACTTCTCAATGAGACACGGTCACGCTGCGATCTCTCTGCCTTCATTTCTCCATCCTGCTGGGTTGTGGGCACACATGTCCAGGGGCCAACAAGTTTTTCAAGCTGCGAGGGCTGGGACTCAAGCCCCTGTCAGCCATGTGAGATCTGGCTCCTTTAACTACTAGGTTATGGGCCCAGCCCTGAGCTTTCCTTTGAAAATGAAACAAAGAAAAACAAGGGAATAAAAATTCGACCTTGTAACCTGCAGCTTCCATCCTCCCGCTCAGTACTGTGTGACAGTTGTACTTAGCAAGAGAGGCGAGGGGGACAGAGTGAGTGCAGGCGCTGCCTGGCCTCTCCAGGGAAATTCACACTCACCTCTGTACTCAGCAGTCCCCTGCCAAGACTTGGCTTTCGTCATTCCAACTCCCTTCCTCCTCTTTTAAAAATTGCTAGCATTATCAGTTATTGTAAATCTCTAGGGCAAGTAAACAGAAGCTAAATCACATTTAAAGTCCTTCCAGCGATTAACCAATAGTCACATGTCCAAGTTGCTGAGTTAAATTTTTTTTTTTTGAGAGGTTTTTGCTATAGGGCGCGCGTTCGCCAGAAACACAGAGAGACCCAGAGAGACAGAAAGCAAGAAATCACCCCCCAGGGGGGATGGCCACACTACAATCCCTTCTCCTCCATTTTCCTTTCGGGATCCTGGGCACGTGTACACATGCGCCTGGCGTGAGTTTAAGCCACCAGGTCTGGGACTCGAACCACAGTCGACTACATGAGAGTCCAGCGACACAGCCATTATGCCAACTGCTGGTCCCGCTGAGTTAATTTTTGACATGAGTTACACCAATCTAGATAAGCTGGTTAGAAAATGATACATTTTTAAAATATCCCTCTGCATAGGAGTCTGTAATTTGTCTCTGATAAGTTATATGTAGAAGTATGTGATAATTTTCTGTGTTGTTATTATATAATTATGATATTTTATTAAATAATTATTTATTCAATTTTATTTATTATTATTATTTTATTTGCTACAGAGCATGTGTACTCACTAGAGAGAGAAAGAAAAGGAAAGTGAGAAAGCAAGTCACCAGGTCTGGGACTTGAACCTCAGTTGGCCGTGTAGGAGTCCAGAGCCTTAACCACCATACCACCTGCTGGCTCCTACTTCTTTCTTTTAAAAATTAATTAATTATTACTATTATTATAGAGGCAAGAGGCTCAGCGTGTTGCCCTGGCTGGCCTTGAACTCCAAGTCCTCTTGCTTCAGCCTCCTGGCAGCTGGGGCTACAGCCTACGCCACTGCGTTCTGCTTAATTACCATCTATTTCTTTATGATACAATCAATGAAAAGATGGCGGACATCAGGTTATAAGGAGAACATCTGCGATGGATAGTTCTGAAAACCAATGGAAACAAACTGAATTTACTAAATCAAAACACATACTGGGGGCTTTTCCCATGGCGCAGGGGGTAAGCCCTGTGCACCGGGAGCTGTCCCCTGTGGCTGGCTGTGATTTAAATCCTGGCCCCTGTGGCTTGAAGAGAGGCTACAAGAGGTAAATCGCAGTTGAGGCAGTCCTGATAGAAGCAGCACCGAGTTTCTGGGACAATGACTGTCTTGCCAAATCCATGGCCTTATCATCTCCTTTGACTCCAAGGCCAATGTCAGCTCCCTGGGAGGCCCCAGCTTCTGAATTGCCCTTCCTTGTTCTCCCTGCACCCGTATCATTAAAGTCAGGTGAGTCATTCATTCATCCCAGTGTTATATGTATGACTCTTGCCATTCAAGTGTAGTTAAGCCAATCACCTGGCTAGAGTAGCTGTATTTTATTTATTTATTTATTTTGAGAGGTTTTTGCTGTAGGGCACGTGCACTCGCCAGACAGTCAGAGAGAGACAGACAGAAAGCGAGAAATCACTCCCCAGGGGGGATGGTCACGACGCAATCCCTTCTCCTCCATTCTCCTCTAGGGATCTTGGGCATGCACACACACACGCCCGGCATGAGTTTTAAGCCACCGGATCTGGGACGAGAATCACAGTCGACTACGTGAGAGTCCAGCAACATAGCCATTACACCAACTGCTGGTCCCTAGAGTACCTGGTTTTGATCTCCTGGTGATATTAGTGATTATTTTGGTAATGGAATTCTGGTCAACATCAAATGTTCTTGATGCTTGTACACAGCTTCATGAAGTAACAGCTAAGTTTTAAATAACAGTAACTTAGAACAGCACAGGGGGGGACCAGCAGATGGTGTAGAGTTCGAGTCCCAGATCCGGCGGCTTAAAACTCACGCAGGGCATGAGTGTGTGCATGACCAAAATCCCGAGAGGAGAACAGAGGAGAAGGGATTGTGGCATGGCCATCACCACCCTTCCAGGGCAGGGGGTGGGGGGTGTGATTCCTTGGTTTCTGTTTCTCTGTCTCTCAGCAAGCATACATGCCCTATAGCAAAAATCTCTCTCTTAGAAAAAGAAAGAAGAGCACAGGGGGAAAAAAAAGAGAAGGAGGAGAAGGTGAAGAAAATGCTTTTAAAAGAAGAGAAAGACCACTACCAGACGTGAACTTGGAACCCACCCAAGTGGGTCATCCTTGGAGTGTCCCATTTCACTTTGCACCATTGTCGGGCCCCCCAGAAATGGCTATTTCATGTGATATGAGACAGTAGAGAAGCTAGACGATTATCAGGACATCACAAATACTTTCCATATGCATATTGGGTCGTCAGAAAAGTCATGACCTATTTTTCTATGATTTTCCATGCAAAAATGTATCATGACTTCTCTGATGACCCAATATTTACATATATATTTATATTTATAATATTTGTAATGGGACTGGCAGGTGGCATGGCGGTTGAGGTGCTAGACT